GAATTAATGCTTTAAACATGATCTGATTGGTCGAGGGGTGGGTCTAAAATTTAACCCTATCCACTGATTGGATGAAAGATAATTGTCTGATGATGGGTTTCTGAGCCTGTCAGCTTCAGCTAGGCAGGAAATCACGAACCCCTGAGAGGGGGGTGAACAGACAGATGGGCTGTGTGGACATCTACCGAAAACAGGAAGTTGTGGTCGGCAGAGTAGACTTCATGGCACCTCAAAACTCTTTTGCAATAAAACATCTACACAAAAACAAGTTGTGACCATAGTTTACAGTTATTCGAGGGGGGAAGAGTGGGCTAGGGTTATGGTAAATCGAGGGTGAACAGACAGATGGCATGTGTGGACACCTGCTGAAAACAGGAAGTTGTGGTCAGCAGAGTAGACTTCATGGCACCTCAAAACTCTTTTGCAATAAAACATCTGAACAAAAACAAGATGTTGTGGCCATAGTTTACACTAATTCAAGGGGTGTAAGAGGGGGCTAGGGTTACGAAAATCAAGGGGGAAAAGGGTGGGTAGGGGTTACTGGAAGTCAAGGGGGAGGAGGGAGGGGGTTAGTTACGGTAAATCAAAAGAGGAAGTCACGAAACGGATGTTGACCATATATGGACATCCTACAGGAAGGAATGACCGGAAGTTGACCATATACGGATGTCCCGCCCTAAAGGGGCGTGGCACCTGTCACTTTTAGTATTGCGACATATTTAATTAGTTGACGAATGGGTGTGTATAATTTCTCTTTGATCACTTATTTGCATACAAATTGATTGCTGTCGTGGGTATACCCCCCCTCCAATATATATACGTATATATATATAAAAACTCTGAAGTTGTTTTTACATAGAGGATTAACCCTACCAACATGTCATCCAGTTGGTCTGAGAACAGTGATCATGTGTGGAAGAACTGAGTTCAAATCCACAATGTTTAATTTGCTGTGGAAAAACTACGTTAGTTACTGCTTTGATTCACTAAATGTAATACAAATAATTTGAAGCTGTCAAATGATTAATATTTTTAATCTGATTAATGCCAAAGTAGCTGTGAATTAATCACGATTAACCTTAAATTTAATATACATTTCTATTGCGTATTGATTAAAAAAATACTTGAGTTATTAGTTTTAATGTTTTTATTTAGAAAACAAAATTGATTCAAAAAATTCATGTCTAAACATGATTTTTTGAATATAAAACAGGACCTAAAAATGCTCCAAACATATGAGTTAAATTTTGTGCAGAATAATGAGGTTAAATCAAGAATTCAAGGATTTTCATTCCTGAGTACTACATGAGGAATGAAAGATAGATACTAAGGTCACAGTTGTCAGCAAAACAAAGAAATAAAAGAAAAAAAAACTGTTACACATGGAGTTTTTTATTTTAACCTTTATTCATCCAGGTAAACTTTGTCCATTAGTCCATGACAAGAACCACTTCTCATTTACAAACATGACCTGGAACTGAATGCATTGTAAATATACAAACCTACATATTCAGCCAGAGTAAAGTGATTGTAAAGTTTAATCGTGATTAAAATTTTTAATCTATGCCCATGCAGCACTAAAATTAATGAGTTAACTCAATACAACTTATTACAAAAACTGTTTCTTTCAGGCCCATTTTAGTTAAACCAGGTTAAGATCAAGGCTGCTTCACAGAGCAGCATCCATCTTTATAGTATTTATGATGGCACAGCCACATTGGACTGGTATTTGTTTTAAAAGAAAAATTCAAATGTTCAAGATGCATGTAGAACCTTTAAACATAACCCGGCCTCGTGGGTTTATTTGCTTCATGTAGCTGTAATGTTAAAGGTTGGCCAGAAGATGGCGCAGCACTTAAGACCTAAAAACTCTAGACTGTTTAAATTAAAATAAGCTTCTTAAGCAGATGTAATCATTTATTGAACTGGTTAGATATTAACTTTGAGCATTTGGCTTAATCATGCTACAATTTAATACAACTATTTTAGGGTTTTATTTGACCTTTTTAGATTGCTAGTTTCATCCTGTAACCCTTACATAGAACATTTTTTAAAGTGTCGACTAGTAAATTACAGTAAATACTTTTCAATTTTTCAGCTAGCTAAAAAGTCTTTTACCGACTTCAGGTCTGGTTTAAATCAGTTTTTTGMATATTTTTTGTATAAATCTGATCATTGAACTTCTTTGTAAAATGTGTAAAACAGATCCAGCTGGGCTTGCCGTTAATGGTTACCATGTTCCACTACTGTTTTTGCTCCATGTTGTAACAGATGGACAGGATGTGTGGGCTCAGGGTTATCCGTTTATTCAAGAGTCACGTCAGCTTTCAAAGACAGATCAAGATCATATTTACACTATGGTCAAATAGTCTCAAAGCAATCCATAATCTGGTTTACATTTGTGTACTTTCAAACACCAGTTTGTGGGGACCAGTTAAGCTTGATGTCACCATCACTTCAGTGTGCAGGGGTTAGACTGGCCTGCAGTCTAGACCAGTCCACATTGGGTGGAGTGAAGGTACCATCAGGTCTGGTCAGGAACATTTGAGCTGATGTAGTCTCAGTCAGCTTTAGAAAAAACACAACTTACCAAGACATTGATACAAGTTAAACACCTGCAGTAGAACTTTAAACACGAGTCTGGTTTAGTCAAATGTTGGATTTAAAATTTTGATCCAAATGATTTTTTTTTATTTAGCAAGAGATAAATTTTGTTTCAGAGTTTGCTCTGGATTTCAGTCCTGGTCAGGTGGGACCCAAATATGGTGACCCCAGAAAAATATATAAAAATAACCCCCCCAAAAAAAAAGTTTAATTTGCTTAACAAACTGCCTAAAATGTTAAGATTTAAACCTTTAAGTCTTAAGTTTACAAACACAAGGCAGGAATAATAAACGTATAAACTTTATTTAACTTAATGCTGCACCTGTTAGAGAGAAGACAAAAAAAATGAGACCAGGAATAAATAATCTGAACATAGAAACTAGATACTCACTAGCTATAGCTTAATCCCACCAGGCCATTTGGACCCTGGAACACGTGGATCTGGGGGCACCAGTTGTGTGATCTGCTGCTACTGAACAGCAGGTTCTTTCAGTCGTCTGATGGCAAAACCACCGAAGTGTTCAGGGATCTGATGAACCGTAACCAAACCCTGAGCAGCTCCCACACTGCTGCTCCTGGGAACAGCCAGATTATGGGTTTTCAAAGACTGCAGACTTATGGGCCTGGAACCTTCTGGAGAACTTCCAGGGAGTTTCCAAGCCTGGGTCGGAGGTGGTGAAAGGCTTCTGGCTTTAGATTCTTTTGACCTACGACTAGACACCCTTTTTGCAGGGCCTCGAGCATATGTTCGCATTCGTACAGAGCGTCCAGGTGGTCCAGGAGCAACTGGGCCAAACAGGACAGCCGAGGAGCCAGTCTTGCTGGAGGACCAAGAGATTTTACCAGAAGATTCTTTTGCTGCAGCCTGAGAAGCTGGTCTGAAGGAGAAGCCTTCTTTAAGACCATGAAGAGGTCGAGAGCTGCCACGCCTCGATTCCTGAACAGGCCAGCATCTCCTGCTGATCTCAGAGGGGTTCTGTTGGAGTAGACTCACTGAAGATCCACCAGTAGAGAGGTCAGAGGACTGCTTCGCTGCTTTTGGACCTTTAGCCCTGGGTGAAAAAGACTTTGGCCTGCTCTGCACCAATCTGACTGAACTCTGAGCTGGCTGGGAAACATGTGCTGAGCTCCTGGTGGAGAGTCCTGGACCAGAACCAGTGTGAACTGCAGGACCAGGGTTGGAGCCAATACTCTGGACCAGATGTGGAGAAATGAAGCCTTGTCTGACTTGATCCTGGGGATATCTGCCAGACTTCAGTCTGCTCTCTGCTGGTGGGAAGCCAACATATGTGTTGCTGTTCTGGAAGCTCTGAACTGCAGGACAAGAGACACGAGTCCACCGTGAGGACACACACACAGAGACGACACCAGTCCACAGTGAGGACACACACACACACACACACACAACACCAGTCCACTGTGAGGACACACAGAGACAACACCAGTCCACTGTGAGGACACACACAGAGACAACACCAGTCCACTGTGAGGACACACACAGAGACAACACAAGTCCACTGTGAGGACACTGGACTAAAGCTGAACATGTCCATTCTTACCTTTTGTCCACAAACAACATCCACGCTCTGCTTGAATTAAGAATATCACKAAGAGCCTGTCCAGGAAACAACACAAGTCAGAAAGAAAAGACATTCCAGTTAACATGTCTGAAATCACTCACCCCAAACCAAGTCCACAAGTCATTTCTGGGTCCAGCACAAAGCAAAAGAAACCCAACAAGTCTGCAGCTCCTGGCTCCGTGTGTGCCAGCAGGTCTTTATTAGAACCTGCAGCCAATCACTGCTCAATGAACTGATTGTCTCCAGCTGCAGCTCATCTGGAGGCTGGACTGTTGACACACAGACACACTAAAGACTGAAACAGTCAGAAGGTAAAACTATTGTCTGCAGACACAATGAACCAGTCATGGCCACAGCAGTGACAGTTTACAGAACCAGGTCTGATGAAATATGACCATGAAGAGTTGTTTAAAACTACTTTTACTTTACCAAATACTGTGAGCAGTATTGTGACTTTTACTTAAGTACTTATCAATGAAATTCATTTTTACCAAAGTCCTTTCTGTTAAGGTATTTATAGTTCTTTCAAATACTTTATACACAATTGCCTGAACATAATAAAAGCATGGATCTTTATTTTTTTCATTATTTTGGGACATGATGTTTCTAACTGTGGTGATATTTTCCAGGAGAAAGAAAGGAGTGCTGGTAGCCTTTTTATCATGGGTTTGAAATGACATCCAGATCAAAAATCCCATCAAAGTTCTTTACTGGCAGCCGAATGCCCACAGAGGACTGTGTCGGTGAAACCTGGAAGTGTGGATTTTAATGCAATGAAACTCTCACTGCCTGCACATTTACTGGAAAACTTTTTAATCTGGAGATTTACCAAAGAAGCCATGCTTCAGTGAATTTTCTGATTTTCAGTTAGATGATGTGTGTTAGCAGCCGAAGGTCATCCCCAGGATATTCTTTGAGCTCAAACACATCTCACATGAMCTTATTAGATGTAAACGTTGTCAAAAAAGATGCCTTCCTTCTTTTGCTGAAGCTCATGGTTTTAATTTAAAACTCTGGCTTGAAAAGTGGAGGGTGATATGCAATGTTTCAAGAAATGCTCGACTGTTAGACCTGAAATCTTGCATGATACTCATTTTTAACTTCTTACCATTTGAGCTGATTGGGACTTGATGAGTGTAAAAACAAAGATGTTTCTTTTTACATGATGCACACTCTGAGAAAAATGCTGTCCACATGTAGACATTCATTTGAAACTTTGATAAACACAGCAAAGTCCTAATTTAGTACTGARATAGAAAACTCTTTATTTTGTGTCTGAACACAGCAGCATTTTTCCTAAGTGCAAAAACAAGATGAAAAACAACTAATGTAGCTGTTATGGTATTTATTCCTTTGGACAATATGGCTCATTGAAAGGGTTGCTAATAGTTGCAGTAATATGCATGTAAACATTTTGCTATATTACTGTACTAAACTCTTCATTTCATTTGCTGAACATGACATGAAACATGAAACATTTCACTTATACTCCAAAATTACTGTGCCAATCTTTTTCCCCTATGGGAACATGTTTATACCTATGTGTGAAGGCTGTGTGATCTGAGGACCACATGATGTAAGTAAACTTTATTATTGTTTTTGTGTTACTTTTGTTGTGATGTTTGTAACAGGTCTCTCTTGTAAATGACACAATGAGTCAAGAGATTTTCCTGTATAAATAAAGGATAAATAAAAAATAAATATAACACACTGCACCCCATGTTTTCCTTGAGCCATCTTTTGCTCTGCAGGGGGCTGCATTCTTCAGCCTGGTCCCAYTACTCACACTTCCACCTTTGTGCACTTCAAATACACATTCTTGGTGAAGGGTTTGTGCTTAGTGTGTCCCGGTTAGTCCTGGTTAGTCCCAGTTGTCCAAATTGGTCTTTGGCCCCGCCCTCTTTGCGCCCTTCATCCACAACAGCCTATATGCCACGGACATCCGGTCCAGCACTTGATGCCACTCCCAGCACTTCCYGTTCACGGTCAACACAGTGTTAGCAAAAGATTTTTTTACCCGACGACTGTTAATGATCTCCACAGTACAGAATTAAGACATAAAAACAAAGGAAAGACGTTCCTGTTTATGGTTCCAGAATTTAGTCTTTTTCACTATTCCTTGGCTGCTTGTTGTGTGAATTTTTCACGTAGAGCTGTGACACTTATATTGTTGGAAAGAGCAGAGTCTGGGCTTTAAACTGATGGGCTACTTGTATGGTTTGGATCGTTTTCCCCGACGTTAGTGAACTGAAAACATAATGATTATCAGGCAGAGGTTCTGCTGGGGGGGCTGTTGTCTACACTGTAATATACACTCTAACAAGTTTTTAGTTTGCATAAAACTCATAACAAAGTTGCATAAAAACATTTCATATAACACAAACGCGCGCACACACACCTACCTTTGTACCGGCTGCTGTGTTAGCTTCCTGCTAGCTGTGAGGAGGTCTTTCCTCTCTCGTCTTGGCAGTAAAAGGGGATAAATGTACATTTCTCTTTTGCAACCTCCGTCTTCTCATTTCTGATGCTGACTCTTCAATTCAACTCAAAAATACTTTGATCCCAGAGGGAAATTGGGTGTTGTAACTTGTAAAAGAAAAAAAATAAAGTCAAAATGGGTTGTAGAGTTATAAAGTATTACTTGAGTGAATATGGTCCAACTGAAGTCAAATTCCAATTTCTCATTTTATATATGACGACAAAATGTTTAGATGATTTCAGTAACAAGTCTTTTCAGGTAAGATATAGTATCATGACCGTCCATAACAAGATGTAAAATTTTACTAAAAACTATAACATTGCTTCAGTTATTTCAGCAACATAAATCTTTGCACAGATAGTCTAAAGGTGGATTTAAGAGTTTAGCCTTATCCTCCAGCAAATGTAAAGATTAGTCAAGAAAATTCAATCTTTAAAACGATAGCAGCCGTTTACATCCGAAATCTAATTGTTAYATTTAGTTTGAGACCAAGGTAAGAGTATAAATGCTGAGACTCAAATTACATTTCAGCACGGTATTTTGGCAAAAAAAAAAAAACTTAAACCCTTGGGCTTAAGATAAAAAAAAAATAAAAAAAAAACCCACCATGCTCTAGAACTTTAGCCATCTGACTTGCCACCACTTGGTACAATGAAATAGACTCAAGTCTTTAAGATGATTGTTAAAGACTTCTCTACACAAGAGGTTAAGTTAAAATATATCCTTTATTTCTGAATTATTAAAAACAAAATATTTTTTTTAATAGACAAACCCTGAAAACAGTCAGAAACAGCTTGGCCATGGTACCATCCCCAGAGCAGCAGGTGTGTCTGAAGCTGCTGTAGTTTGGACAGGTTCACAGCCGTCTGATAGCAAAGCCACCAAAGGGCTCAGGAATCTGGTACACAGCAGGATCACGGCTGGTTTTGTAGGTCTGAGACCAGCTCCTGCGCCAAGAACCACCTTGGGGTGCCACATGTTTCCAAGCCTGGTCAGGAGAGAACCCCTTTGCTTTAGATTCTTCAGACCTATGATTTGATGACACCCTTCTAGCACGACCARGAGCAAAAGTTTGCATACGTTTGTACTGTCCACGTTGTCCAGGGGCAACTGGGCCAAACAGAACAGCAGAGGAACCAGTCTGGCTGTAGGGGACTTTAGAAGCAGCCCAGGAAGGTTCTTGTGCTGCAGACTGAGGAGCTGGTCTGAAGGAGAAGGTTTCCCTGGGACCCAGAAAGACTTGGGAGCTGCTGGTTGGATAGTTGCTGGAAGGCTGCATTTCCTGCTGAACAGGCCAACTTGTCCTGCTGGAGTCGACCCACTGAAGATCCACCAGAAACAGCAGTAGAAAGGTCAGAGGACTGCTTCGCTGCTTTTGGACCTTTAGCCCTYGGTGAAAAAGACTTTGGCCCGCTCTGCACCAATCTGACTGAACTCAGAGCTGGCTGGGAAACATGTGCTGAGCTCCTGGTGGAGAGTCCTGGACCAGAACCAGTGTAAACTGCAGGACCAGTGTTGGAGCTACTGCTCTGGACCATATGTGGAGAACTGAAGCCTTGTCTGCCTTGGTTCTGGGGATAGCTGCCAGATTTGATCAATCTGACAGTTGGTGGTGGGAAGCCAACATGTGTGTTGATGTTCTGGAGATTCTGAGCTGCAAGACAAGACGACATGAGTCCACTGTGAGGACACACAGGCAACAAGAGTCCACTTGAGGACATTGGACCAGTAGAAAGCTGACATTTCTGTTCTTACCTTCTTTAGTCCAGAAA